GTCCGATTTTCTTAAATTCTCTATGTGTCACATCTAAATGAAATATATTTGATTACAAGATTTATCAGATAATCCTTAAAATGTGTGCACATAAATTATTTTCTCTCTTTTTCTGAGTGACCATTTATTGTGTCAAAATTTTGATTAAGCCAAATCAAACAGACTCGGCCACCATTATACTTCTCGAAGGTTTTTCCTAGCAAGAAGGAAGAGAAGCGTTGTAATAACCCAAATTTTGGTTAGTGATTAAAATGTAAGCTTTGAAAGTTTGAAAGCTTAAGTATAATTTTTATAGAAGTTTAGGGATCAAAAAATAATTTTAAAAAATTATATATTTTAGCTCGTAAATGAAAAGTTTAGCTTAAAATAAGGAATTTCATGAGAATAAGATTTTTTGTACATGATTTGTGTTAAAAGCTATAAAGCAATAAAGTTCGGTATTGAAATTGGATAATCAGATCGAACTGAAATTTTACGAAAATTTGAAGGATGTTAGAAAATGGATGTAAATATTATTTCCATATTTTAGGTCGGAGAAATTTAACTCAGATCAGCTTTGATTTTTGCAGTTATATACTTGATTTTTGGAATAAACTATTAGATAGAGAATTATTCCACATAAAATTTTCTATCATTCGGTATAAATATTTCATGATGAAGATGCTTGTGTGTTGAGGTTGAAAGTTAGGGTTTATGTAGGTTTTTGGAGTTTGAAGATTTAATGAAAGATTATTATGTTTTTGATGTGTGAGATTAATTCTAAGGCATGTGTGATAATTAAAGTGATGTATAAAGCCTTGTAGTTGATTTGGCCTAATTAGGGTTTTGGTGATTGATTGATTTTGGTTCAATTTGATATTGTGTTGATTAGAATAGCATGAATTTGAAGTAATGAAGTTGAATTCATGCTTGGAGTTGAATGAAAATTTAGCCTTAAGACCATAGTGAGATTCGACCATTGGGGAAAAATTAGGGAAAAATATTGAAAATTTTCCTATGATCTAAAATTGATATTAGAAGTGTTATATGTGATTTGGTGATCAATTTGGATCAATTTGGATTATTGAGTTAGTAAAAGGGTTATTATACAAATATTGAGAATTGTGGGAAATTATTGCAAGAATGTAATATTTTGAGGGTTAAATGCTGATTTTTGATAGTTGAAATGTTGGAAATTTAAGTTAGAAAGTTGATTGGAACCAAATTGCAAGTTTATCAAGTTGTGAGGTTGAATTTGAAAAGTCTAAGAAAGTTTAGGATGAAATTTTAAGCTTTTGAATGTTTAAGTGTTGATTTGAATAATTTAGTAAGGTGCTTGAAATTTCATATGATTAATGTATAATGATCATAACGATGAAGGGCCATTATGAATTAAATGGGAAAGTTAATACGAATTCTAAAAAGAATTCATAATTTATGGCTTGATGGTGTAATTGGGAAAACTTAAAGGGTTTATTTGATAGTGGAAATAAATATTCATGGGATTGAATAAGAATTTTGAGAAGTTTGAAAATTTGATGGAAATATGATTTAGTTTTATATCGATTTAAGTATCAGATTTATTTCTATTGAATTTTATATTTAAGTTTAGATTATTTAGTTTAATACTGACGTATAGTTTGAATATTTTATGTTATTATATAATATCGTCAGACCACAGTAAATCTAGTAATTAAAGTAGCTTGAAAAGGGAGGAAAAGTGTGGGATCGAGAAGAATATCGTGGAGAAGGTTCAATAGCAAGACAAAAGGTGAGTGCATTTAACTTCTATTTATGTTATTGAACAAACATTGACTTGCGATGAGCCAATGTCGGAGTTACATTAAAAAGTGAATCCTAGTGTATGCGAAGTGTGATTCAAGCCTATATGTTTAATTGGTAAGTTAATAGAATTAGTGAATAAGTTAATGATGCAAGTGGATGAAATCTGCCTAGAAATTATGTTATGAATAGTAAGTTTAGAAAATCACCAGAAATTTTACAAAAATAATTGAAGGATGAATCTTATATCATTGGATTCATATATCAGTCAAGTTTTGTTTAGAGCAAACGGTATCTAATTTCGAAGAGTATACAAAAATATGAATTTTTAATAGGTGATAGGTTAGAAAACAGGGCAACAAATTCTGCCGAAAACAACTTCTGTCAGTCAACTTTGAAAATTCGCTATAAATTGTACAAGTGAAACTAGATGGATTACCTTATATGGTTAGATTTGTATTCGAGTCTAGTTTTCAGTGGTACAAAAGGAATAATTTTTCAGTATGTGGATTAATACAGAATAATATTTATTTGAAGGTAATACAAACTACCAAAATATGAAATTTTGATAAATTGTGTAATTAAAGCAATTTAAAGCAAAGGATTAAGCTTAAAACTTGATGAGGCTTATATTTTGATTTATAAGAAAAGTGTAAAATGAGTGCAGTAGTTTATTTGATTAATTTGATTGAAGACGACTTGTAATAAGTCAATGTCGTATTATTTTAAAGTATGTTTTCTAGTTTAAATACGAATTATTTATATAATGTCCGCATGAATGTTTAGGGTATGAATTACCCAAATTATGGTTTTTATGAGAATAATATTGGAAAAAGCTATTGATTGGAAACGTTGAATTATATATGATATGAATTTAAAATAAAGCTCATTGTATATTGCATTGAGAGTCGTAGGTATAACTGGCATGCCATGAGGTGAAGTGATTGATATGCCATGGTGTTATTGGTGGGTACACTAGTATATTTTCGATATGACTGCACTTTATGTGCATATTATGATTCTGATGTGATACCACTGTGTGTGCTTATGATATACGATGGTGTTACCGGTAGGTACACTAATATATTTTAGATATGGTTGTACTTTGTGTGCATATTATGATTCTGATATGATAGCACTGTGTTTGCTAATATGTTCCGATTGAGATGATAGTACTGAAGTGCTTACTGCACACACTCGTCTGACTCACGTACCTTGTATCATCTTACATATACATTGGGCTATAAAAGTAAATGTGAAAGTTATGACAAAATATGAGAAATGAATATGGAATTAAAAAGAAACTTCTAAAACATGTTTGAATGAAAAGAACATAAGTTGTTTATGATATTTGATATTGATTTACATGATTTTTGATGAAATTATGAGATAATGATTTTTTAGGTTTTCAAGATGAAAACAACATGAATAGTCGGGTTTGAAAGTTTAAATGCTTTTATTTAAATTACATATTTATGTTTATAATATTTTACGAAATTTATGTTTTATCTCATTTTAGTTATATTACTGTTTCACTAAGTTTTACTTAGTGCGTGAAAATTTTTATGCATAGGTTTGAGTAAAGAAAAGAACATAAAGTGAGGAGTTATTAACGGCATGTACATTACACCTGATTGTATGTTTTGTTTAATTTATTTTAAAAACGGTTTGTAATAGTAACTATGATTATTTTCTTTATTTTTGACTAATTTTAGTATTTAATCGTATTTTTGAATGAATAGTATAAATGTTATATTTTAAACGGTTTTTAAATTAAGTAGTATTTAGACAGTGATATATATTTTTGATCAGTTCTGAACTGCCTACTTACTGATTGAAATTGGATTTATTTGCAATCATTAAATATTTTTTTATGATTTTATACAAATAAGGTAAAAGTTTTTAAATTGAAACAATGAAAGTTTAAAAATAAATGAGATTTTAAGTCTTTATGCTCAACAAATAATTGTCAAGTTAATATGACATTTGTAACTCGTATATCAAGACATATATGAACTATGGATATTACATGCGTGAATTTTTTATTACGGAAAATAAGTGTTTTGACCTTCAAAATATTAATATTAAAATTGAATATATAGACAAAAACACCATCAAATGTTTTAATTTTTTATGTGAGATACAATGCAAATAACAATTCGAGCATTCCCTCTTCAATCAATTAGAAAGAAAAATTCGGATTTGGTTGGATGAATCTTTTATCTTACTTGATTAAAAAAGATATATCATTTTTCAAAATTATATTATTAAATATTATCATTTTTTTATCCTCCAGATTCTTAAGGTTTCATCTTGATTAATCCAGATCAATCTGGGTCACACATTTATTTTGGAGGGTAAGTCTATCAAACAAGATTTGCTACATACACAAAAAATTTTGGAAGGTAAGTCTCTCAAACAAGATTTGCTACATACACAAAAAATTTTGGAAGGCTCTCAAACAAAGATTTGCTACATACACAAAAATTCAAACTTAAGACTTACTTAAATGATATCAAGCTAGTTACCACTTAAATTATTTAATAATTAAATTAAAATTAATATTATTTTGATAAATTTAGGCCAAATTAGTAGCCCAACGGAGGGCATTTGATCTACAGCCCATGCATAAATTTGCTCCGTCTAATTCTAATCTACTTGCATAAAGTTTTATGCTCCCATCGGAAATCCAACGGGCAAGGAAGAATCCTCCCCGACCTATCCGCATTAATCAAGAGCAACCACCAGCTCTTATGTTGTCTTGTTACCTTTTTGTTGTTCCAACGAAAAAAAAAAGATTTTTTGAACTTTTCTCTTATGTTTAGGGTTTGCAGAGCTCGGAGGTGTAAGAGAAAAGAGAATACCCAGAAAGGCAACGCGTCTATCATGTAAAAACCAGAACGTATAATGCAAGGCGCAGACAATTTCAGACATTAGAGTTCCAAGGCCAACGCAATTTATGGTATCCCCATCCGATACAAAACCACCATCGCTCAGAACTTGTTTCCACCAAAGAAGAAACACATTACTCTCTCTTCTTTTTATCATTTCCCATGCTTGATGAACAAGGAATTTGCATACTATAGTTAAACTTAGGGAAGAAAAAAAATCCCTACCAGATTACGATATCGTCAAGGAATTACCATTACATGTTATAAAGATTACAACATAAAAGCATGATGATTTTAATCTCACGTCTAAGTAACGAAAAGCTTGAAACCCTAAACATATTGATATGCTCAAGCATTTTGAACCCTAGCTGCCAAGGCATCCGTGAAATCTGGGAACTGAAAGATATCATCTAACAAGCAGTCTTGACCTACCTGCAGGTGTTTCGTTGGTATTTCATTAGCATACGGCACCGATTCAGAGCCAGTGACTCCACTGAAACTCTCCACCTGCTGGAGGAATCCTTGATCGTAACCGGAATAATAAAAACCTAAATGTTCATTCTTCAACTCGGGTTCAGGGACGGCAACTGAATGTTGAGTGTAGTTTGAGGTAACTTTACGTTCACCTGATTTCTTCGGAAATAAACCTTGAATTATTTCCTGCAACAAACCGGAATCTGAAGGCTCCTGCGGGAAGAATTCCATATCATCGACGGTTTCCTTGAGAGTGTGCGTCATGGATGAGCCAGTGAAAGAATCAGATACGCTATCGGCTGCGCTTAGAGTAGTGTTGTTGGTCGAGGATTTCAACAAAGATGCACCGGCCAAAACGCTTGAATTAGCCGGAAAAGTGAAAGGAAACGAAGAAGAGGAAGTATTTCCGTTCATGAATGGAATATTGTCCGCCAGAGACTGAGGAGGCGGCTCGTGGAGAGATGAATTAGATGAATTCATGAGGTCACGGAATAAAACCATGTTCAGAGAAGCGTTTCTTTGAGCAGAAGACCCAACGGAGAAGTCACCCGAATGTTGGTTTGTCAACGATGGCCAATTCGAAGATTGGCCAAACTGATGATTAATGCAGTTAATGTCCCTGATGGATGACTGTGACTGCTTCGAGAAGGTAAAAGGTGGAAGGAAATGATTGCTCCCCGAGTGAGGCTCCGTCGCCGGGTAGACGAAATTGGTGCGAGCCTTGATCCCACGCATAGCTCGAGCTGCACAGTCGTAGGCGCATGCGGCCTCCTCTGCAGTGTCAAAAGTCCCGAGCCAACGCCGTTCCTTGGACTGTGGGTCTCGTATCTCAGCAGCATAACGCCCCCACGGCCTGCGGCGAACACCACGGTACCTCATTGTTCCACCGGAGACACCATTTCCTTTGAGAGACCTCATGTTCGCCGCTGTGGCGGTGGTGCGATCTGTTGAGGTGGCGGCGCTCTTCTTTGTATAGTCGGTCATGGAGTTGCTACCATTTGGGTCGGAGACATAAGTCATGCTCTGTAGGTTCTTAAATGCCTCTTCCATTAGCTAAAACTAGGAGAGAAGTACACAAGGAATCAAAGACTACAAAGAAGACCAGAGATTGGCACCTGGAATTCGGATTGTGGTGGATGGAACTTTGCACCACAATATATGCTTGTATTTATAGTAAAATAAACACTGTCAGAAAATCTAGAGAAAGTGACCCTTTTTATTCATGCTTTTTGCTTCTTCTTTTTTACGCAAACAAAATTCAAAAAAGCAGGGTTTGAATTTTAAATTAAGAATGTATATTTTTTTATGTAACATATATATTAAACTAACCATTCAAAGAAAAGGTGTTTTAATCCTTCATTTTACTGAATTTTAGGATGTACTATACTCTAATGAAAGTTATCTTAATATTTTTTTAAAGAGAAGATACCTTAAATTTTAAAAATGGATAGTCAATAGTACGACGTTATTATATTTAAAACAAGGACTTAATTGAACGTGCAACTTAGAGATTAAAATGCAAACTTTTCAAAGTATGAAAATAAACCAAATATGAAATTGAAGATTCCAATATGAAATTATTGTCATTATAGAGTTATAGAACAAATTTCAACCAAATCCGAGTTGAAACCAAGATTTAATTGCAAAATCGTGCTTCTTGGCCAAATTGAATACATTTTAAAGTTTAGGGACCAATTGAGGACTTAGGGGACACTTTAGGCCTCTAATGAATGAAATTTTACCTATTTTTTATCGAGCACACAACGAAGGGATCGATCCTTGTTTCACGGGGAATCGATCATTTACAAAATAGTGAGTTTGGGACCGATCCTTTATGGAAGGGATCGATCCTTTGCCTTAAGGGATCAATCATTTTGAAAAAGGGATCAATCTTTTTTTATTTATGAAAAATGCATAAAATTCATTCTAATGTGCATGAACATGCATTCAATAGGTCATGCAATCGATCCTAGGATCTACGAACATGCTTGGACACCCTTAAACCACTTAGACTGTCGTAATACATATGTAATGTGCTTCTTAACATCATTTAACATAACATACAAGTATTAAGCATCCAAAGTCAAATATTGCATAGGAAGTTAACTTAAATGCAAGTCGATTAACCATTTTGTGCATTATTAATCGTTTCATGCTTCCTAAAAGTCTTACATATTATGTCATCCTATTATAACTTGTCTAGGTGATCTAAACATGTATTTAAGGTATAAATCATACTTTGAAAAACTTATGCATACTTAGTAATAGGGCACAACATGTAATACAACATCAAACTCATCATTTCATTATTCATTCAAGAGTCATAGTATAATATAAGTCTTTATAGGCCACTTATGCATTAGCAAGGGTCACAAGAACAAATCAACTTAAATCTCAATTAAGGATCCCCTATTACCTCAAAATAAAATCAAGATTCAAAATAACTTTACAAAAGCTCCATTGCTTTGATCACCACCAAGTGCCTTGCCTCTCATGCTCTCGAGTCAAAAAATAAAAATCTGAAAAATATTAAACAACGAGTGTGGGCTATAAAGCCCAGTGAATTACTAAACATTCAAATATGATGCACGTGCCAAGACTAAAAGAAATCATACCTAAATGCCATGAAACCTTACTTGTTTTTACCTCAATGATCATACCTTAATGTCATGCTTCAATGTTCACTTAATACATCACAAATGCACACAAAATTCATATTATAATTATAACACCCCCAACCCGTACCCGACCCGGATACGAGTCTGAGGTGTCACATTGACCTTTTAAACTTTGACTCTTAATGAAAACCAAGAAAATTTTCAAACTTTCTTTGAAATAACATTGTTACTTTACATAAGTTGACCAAAACAAAACAAAATCGATCAGAGCATTCGTAACTAACACATTACTTACATGCCAATACACTATACACAACAAAATACATACGTATCAGTTACTTATGATATGGTCTTCTAGTAATGATGTTGTTCTTGCCACCCCTATTTTTGTTCTTCTGGATTCTTGGTACCTACGTGTAAATCACTTACACGCTAAGTCACAGACTTAATGAGGCATAAATAAACATATAACAATAATCTCATGAACATACAATATTATCAATCCACTAGGACATTGCGATGCACATGTAAATACCACACAATGACATATGAGTAGGATATGCATGAATAAACAATTATGTTTCATAAGAATTTCCTTTAGTTTATCTTTGGATGCCCATGTATATTATTGAGAACAGAAGGTACGCGAGTACACTGATGTTGTGCACAATGATGTCACCACATCTCGAATAAAATCCCACTAGGGGCACTGAATATTTGTCCCGAATGACCATTATGTCCCGAAGGACCACTGATAATCCCTCGACTCTTGGCATGCCAATTATACCTACAGCTCTCACATTAAGTAACATGGGCTTAATTATAATACAATTCTCATTTTCATATCTCTTCTATATCTTTTCATATAAACACATAATTCATTCATATGAATACACATGATTATTTTCATTATTTCCCATACCTGAATGGATTCTCATATAATTGCATTCATTCAAATAAGTTCATATTAAAGCATGAATGAATTATGCATGAAAGCACTATAGCATTAATACATATATAAATATGCATGTACATGAATGTGAAATCATAAGTTTAACTATAAGAGATAGACTCATCGCAAGTCTTATCTCAATACAATTTCATATAAGATATGCACTCACCTTAGAATTGCTTTGACTCGATTCTAATCATTCAATTATTCTGGAACAAGATTACGTTCTATATCTACATAGTAATACATTGATACATATCAGTATACTAATTGATATATTCTAAATTATCACTTCTTAGACTAAAAGAAAGGCTAATTTCATCTCTTAATGAAGATATGTATCGATGCACTCTACAGTGTATCGATGTATCCCTTAATATGTGTATCGATGCAAAATCTATGCATCGGTGCACAAATCACATTAGATGTTTTCATTTTAAGGAGGTGCATCGATGCACTAATTACATTCGATGTTTATTTATTTAAGAGTGCATCGATACACATTGAAGATGCATCGATGCACATAACCCATAAATTCTATTTTAAGCACGAAATTCACTCTCTTTTCATCTCAACTCTTCATCTTTCACCTCCTTTAATATCCCTAACTTGCATACACCTACTTAAACTAATTTATACCCATTCAATATCTCTTAAACTTCAAAATTCATTTCTCCACATAAAATTCAAGAATCTCACTCAAATTCCAACATGTTCTAAATCTAATTCTAACACTTCATATTCCTTAATCAAGTTGGTGACAAGTCAAATTCAACTTCCAATTCTCATTATGAACTTTATTTCAAAATTTCATTTAAGAACTCCTAACCTTTAATTCTTTCTACACTCTTCATCTTGTTGTTTTAAGATAAATTAAGCTTTCCTAAGCTTAATTAGTATCTAATGATCAAAACCAAACTTAAATCTCAACTAATAATCAACTACTAAGAATTCTTACCTTTACCTTGGCTCATACGCATAAAGAAGAAAGGAGGAGAAGAGTTACCTGGAAGCTTGGATATTTGCTTCCTCTCATACACGAGGCCTCCATATATATCTAACCAAATTTAATTATTTTCCTTGCAAATAACCATTTTATCCTTCTATTCCTCATTCTTTTCAATTTGATCCTACACAATATTTTTCATATAAGTCTTTAAAATAATAAACTATTCTACTTAAATCACCAACTTTTATAATTTTACAATCTAGTCACTAACCTGGTATTGAGGATGTTACAATAATTATGTTTTACATAATCATACACCTTGCATCAAATTACATACACTCATGCTGTAACACCCCCAACCCGTATCAGACCAGGATACGAGTCCGAAGTCTCACATTGACTTTTCAAAAATTTATTCGTATAAAATAGTGAGTAATTTAAAAACTTTTATAACATTTAAATTATTCAAAACATTTACAAAATTATTCAAAGCTTATACAATATATTCTTTTGATTACATGCCAACTAGAACTTTATATACAAAAATACATATTATTCACCTCTCTTTTGATCTGACATTCTGTAAGGAGAACTGACATGTCTTGTTCATCTTTACTTTTCTTTTCGCTTTCCAAACCTACGTGTGAAACAATCACACGCTAAGTCGATGACTTAGTGAGGCATATAAAACATATAATATTTCATATAACATAAATCATACATACACATATACCATCATTATCATAATCTCTATCATTATCATTAAGAAACACACATAACATCATATGGTTCATGTAACACATTTCAAACCACTTACCTTTGATAACCATTTATAAACTCATTGTATACATATCACATTCAGTATGCTTGTTTAATCACTTTATTAGCCCATGTACACTAGTGAGAACTTAAGGTATGTGAGTACATTGAGGTTATGCACACGTATGTTGTCACCACAGCTCGATCAATGTCACGAAGGACCAGTCCATAGATTCCGAAGAACCTAGGTACTCAGTCCATATGTCCCGAAGAACATAGGTAAACAATCCATATGTCCCGAAGAACATAGGTAAACAGTCCATATGTCCCGAAGAACATAGGTAAACCCTCGACCCTTGGCATGCCAACTATACCCTAGCTCTCATATCACATAACATGGGCATTATCATTTAACAGTTCACATTACTTGTCATTTCTCTTCTGTCACATACCACATGTATGTGTAACCATGTATTCCATATCATATCACATGTATCACGTATTGTCTATTCATATGTCATTTCATATAACATATATCATATGTGCATGTAATCACATAGATCGTATCATATAGCTTCATTCATATCACATATTCATATAAGTTCATAGCTTCTTTCACATATACATGTAATCACTTAGTCTATTTTCATGTAATTCTTTTCACTTCTCATATGATTTTATATTCATATCTCACATAGCTCATATCATATATCTTATAATAGATTCTTATATCATCATTTGTTTCCTTTCTACCTATTCATAATCACATTAA